AATACTTTTTTTTTTAATAACTTCAACAGATTTGCCTCCAGGGTAACATTTTTCAAAGATAAATTTTCATTAACTTACATTTCTCAGCATTTCAATGCTGTTAATAATTTAAAATACAGTTTTAAAGAATACATTAGGTTTAACAATTAAGATAACCTTTCATCCTTATTCATAGTCACGGACTAGGCATCTTCAAAAAGGGTTTTATAGGCCAGAGCTTCAGCTAAAGTTTGACTTAAACATCTCTGTTTATGGGTTGCAATATTGTTTGGCTATCTTTTCCAAAGTAAGCATGCAATTATAGCCCACAAAATGAGAACAGGGATTCTATATTTGCATTTGTTTATTACAAATTTTCATTTATAATCTTCTTGCCCTTCTATTTTGTGGGTGCTATTATGGTGTTTGTGAACACTGAATTCTATCAGTGTGGTATTATAAACTCACATATCATATTAAAAATCACAAACTATATAAGGGTTTGACTGGCACTGAGTACAACTAATGGTTCAGAAATTCCTGATCTTAACCTGTGAGATGTATGCATGAATACATAAGTTTCGGTGTATTTTGTACTACCTTCAAAACACCCAAACTAAACAGAACATGAAAATGGACCTCCACAGCCTCAGTGTAATCTTTCCTTCCCATAACTAATAAAAAATTTAAAAAAAAGTGTTCTGGGGCCAGAGACATACAGTACTTTGAACCTGCTCTTACTTGGGATTAAGCACACCTAGGGAATTCCAGCTAACATAGCTTTAGACTACAAGAGAGACTTAAAGGAGAAGCACAAACAAATGAACAGATCTGCTTCTTGGATGATCTCACACCTGAGAACAGAGCTAACATCAGAAAAAAAACTTGTTTGGGTTTAAGTGTACTTACTGAATATTACTTATATAAAGTTTTACCAAGATACACATTTCAAGTATCTTGAGAACTTGCCCTACTTTGCAAGCCCAACTTTGGTGCAGTCACTGCTCCTCCTGACTTCTGGGTTGGATATGTGGCCCTAGAAAGAAATCTTGTACCCTGTAACAAAGCATTTCTCCTAGAAAATGCTGTCAGGGAAGCTAAACTGAACTGGTGTAGTTGCTAGTGGGTTTGACAGATCAGGACATGGTCCATAGCCTTGTGGGAAGATTTAGCTCAGCTCTAGGTGTTACTTCTGCATCACTGCAAGTGTAGTCACTTTGAAGGAAAGGAAAAGGGAATGGTGATCCCCCAGTCCAAGACAGGTCCCATTACAAAACAGTGAGAAATTCTTGATAGATGCTGGTACCTAAGGAGAATTCCAACAGGGGAAGTAGATTAACAAGTGTCACCCCACCACACTTTGAGGTATAGGAGATATTTTAGCCATTGCAGGTGGACAGAAACAACAAGCATGAAAATACATTTGTGATATTTTTTGGTTGGGTAATTATACATCTACTGACCCAGTGCCTAATTTACACCTCAAATACTGTAATTTGCCTTGCCAGGTGCTTCTTTGTATTGTGGATTTCACTATGTTAAGATAATTACAATCATATACTCCTAAGGGAGATTACTGTTGTTGGACCTAAAATTTTCATGAGATCTTTTCAGTCAGCCATCACAGCCACTCCTATTGCACCTTCCACTGTGATACACTTGCACAGACAAGAAAAAACAAGAAAGATAAGCCAAAAAAACACTGAGGTACCCTTTGCATATATACAATAATTACTTTCTGTCCAAAATATTGGCATTCCTGGCAATAATTCATCAATAAATCTGCTTGAAGTATTTTTCTTCCCTGACAGTTCCTGGAGCAGTGAGTCACTCTTACAGTCAGACTTCAAATAATTTCATAAATGAGGTGGTTATCCCATGTTTTTTTACTGTCCTTCTGCACTATGCTCATTTTAGACCCACAGCCGTGATCTGGAATGTCCCATTGTTACTTTGGAAACTTTCCTTTGCACAACCTGTTGGTATCTCCAGTCCAACATGGGGAAGGTTACACAGAAATAAATGTTTATCAAGAAAGATCTCAGCTATTTTAGCCACTGCTGTATTGCTCTAGGCTCTATGCTCCATGAATTAGGCTTTTACTCTGCCATGTGCAACTGAATTCCACTCTCTAGCTGTTTGCTCCTTGTCTACCACAGCATTTACCTTTGGTGGGTGTGATGCCACAGAAGCCAATCAGGGATAGATGCAAACAGCTGAACCGAACCACAAACAATGCTTAAATATCTTGCTGTTCTTATTATTGCTATTACACGGCATCCACTTCTACCCTTGATCTGAAAGAGAGGTGGTTCCAGAGCCTTATCAGCTTCCACCTCAAGCGAATGACCCCACCATTGACCTCACATGTGAAAAATGACTAAGAGCTTATACTCAGCCCGTTGAGTTCCCCAGGGTGTCTTTCTGCTTTTTTAATTGTTTTAGAACTCCTGCTAATTCATGAATGATGTAATTTTTCTTGTCACCTCCTCTATGCCACTGGGATTTTATGGAGTTCATAATATCATTGCTGAGCTCTTTCTTTTCTGGAATTGAAGGGTACGTTATTATTTACAACACATTTATAGGATTTCATTGCAAAGGCTTTCTTGAGTTGCTAAAACTGAAGCATTTTGATAAAAAAACCCAGCTTGTTTTACATGCCATGCTTATATCAGAAAATATCTTTTACTATAGGGTGGTGGTACTATGCTAAAATACAGATTACAAAGTATCCTTTAATGTCAGAATCAAACTATTACAAGAGCCTATGACTGAACTCAAATATGCATATCACAGTGCAAAGGAATGAGCATTGCAGCTGTTTCAGTATATTTGCCTTTATACCGGAGCAGTGTTCCTTCAAATCTATCTCAGAAAGGAGTTTTTTAGATTAATTTTCAGTTTATGTACATTTAAATATTAAATATTAAAACGAACCATAAAGTCCATTATTAGATGCCATTTTAATTGCCTTTTTTTTTCAGCATTTTTACTGAAGGCTATACCATTAAGTGTTTGACAGCCCTGTGAAAATACTATCAATGTGTAATATCCGAGACTATAATCTATTGTTATTTACACAGACCTGAATCAATTTGTTTTATTGTTTAACATCTTATAAAAGCCTTTGTGGTCTTAGAAAGCCTTATATACACATGAGCAAGCTGATGAGCCTGCTGTTTTCCCCTGGGTACATTGCTCTGTGATGATAATTTCCAGAGAAAGCTGGACTCGGCATCTGTGAGTATATCACTATGTATGATGTATTCACAAGCTTTTGTAATTGAATTCCACTGCTTGGTATAAATGGGATTAAATTTACCAGATGATGCAGCAGAACCCTGTAGTCAGGATTCAAGGGTTTAGATGACACAGCACTCTTTTCTGCAAATATGTCTTGAAGAATAATATGGGAGTTTTCAGTACTCTGTAGACCTTCTCTTAATGCAGGACATTTGAAAATGATGGAATAAAAAAAAAAAAAAAAAAGAAAAAAAGAGTATTTCTGACCAAACATGTTATAATTAACAATTAACATTATGTACATCGTCCACTTTTAAAACCAGTTTGGGGCTTGTTTCATATTCCTGTAGCTATTTACAATAAGAGTAACAGAACACTATGTTACTTGATTTCTGTTGTCTATGCCAGAAATGTAAGGGAGAACAAAAGCCAGAAACATCTGAATTCTAAGCCCAGCACTTCAACAAAGATTCTGCCCATTTTCTTAAAAGGTTAATAAATTTTGCATGTTCCAATATGAAATTATTTTGGACTCTGTTAAATACTTACCAAAATCTTCACTGTCTTCAGTGAACTTCCATCCAGACCTTTGTTTAGATGTCAGAAGATGGATTAAGTCCTAATTTAAGACACCCACATTTGAAATGTTCTGTCTGTGTTTCAATGTTGCTACCTTTAAAATGACGAGAATAAATTTAACCATTCCCATAGGATTTTGGGAGGATTCATCAGGATGCACTTGTAAAACTGAAAAGCACTGGTCCTACAAACTTCTTCATCAGAAGTGGTAATCTTGTCTGTTACTTAACTCCAAAGAAATGAAATATCGTCTGTCTTCCAAGATTATTTTAACCCTCTCTGCTTTCACTGCAGTAAGTGAAATTCACAGAGCAGAAACCACTTAATTAAAATCTCACTGGACATGGTCACTTTACTACCCAGTGATTTTTTAACAAAATCTTAATGGATAGTGATTTTTTAACAAACTTTTTTCTTTTTTTTTTTTCATTTAATAAGAAACCCCCTGAAAATATCTCTATTCATTTTAGTGAGAATCCTTATCTTGTATACAAATGGTGTGCCACGATCCCAGGGACAAAACTGAAAGAGAAATTGAGGTTTACTATCAGTATGTAGGAAGACTGTATCACTTACTGGCATCGTGGACACATGGCGGGACGGCAGCCATCCCATGGTGGGATGGCTGTAGTGTTGTAATGGTAGGATACAGGCTCTTCAGAAAAGACAAGGAGGGGAGATATGGAGAGGGTGTTACCCTCTGTGTCAATGACAAGCTGGAGTGCATGGAGCTTCACCTGGGGGTGCATGAGAAGGTGACTGAGAGCTCATGGGTCAGGATTAAAGGGGGGTAGGGACTATTGACATTATAGTGGATGCCTGTAGGTTGCCCAGACAGAAAGAGTGAATGTATGAGGCACTCTCTAGACAGGTAGGAGCAGTCTCATGTTCACAAGCCTTGGTCCCTATCAGGGACTTCAACCATCCTAATATCTGGAGAGACAGCACAGCAGGGCATAAGCAATCCAGGAATATGTTGATGATAACTTCCTTTTCCAGGTGATAGAAGAGTGAATGAAGAGAGGAGCTATGCTGGACCTTGTTCTCACTAGCGTGGGGAGAAAAGGTCTGGTGGGGAATGTGAAGCTCAAAACCAGCCTTGGTCTAGTGGAAGGTGTCCCTGCCTATGGCAGCGGGTTGGATATAGATGATCTTTAAGGTCCCTTCCAACCCAAATCATTCTATGATTCTATGATTTAGGTTTTTGATAAATTTGGGTTTGGAAAGAGCTAAATCAGTTTGGTCATTCTTCTGCTAGCTCAAGATTTCTTTTCTATGATTTATTCATAGAAGGATTTATTAATGGGATGCTCAAGATCAACACATCTGCAGGCTGGTGAGTGCCTTTGGTGCACTGCTGGGGAAACCTGTGTCCCTTGAATGCGGAGATTGTTGAGAAGGACAGACTGGCTTCTGTACCTTTAAAACTTCAAAACCATCAGTTTTCTGCAGTTTAATGTCACTGAGAGAGAGCGTTTCATATCTGCAGAATGACAGTCTCATTGATGCCTGATTTGTGTTTTGTTTTCCCCAGTTATAGCTGTTATGATCTGAACTTTATGCAATGTTTCTTTACAATTTAAAGAGTAAATTCCATATATAACTTAAAATTAAACAAAACAATTAGGTCATGAAATAAAAAATTATTGCTTTGCATCTGACAGGGACTATTAATTTTATCCAGTAAGGGCTGCAGACACACTGGACATAGGCAGCTAAGATGGAGTGCCAAGACTGTAAAAAACAAGATAAATGGCTGTTTTGCTTAAACCCATTTGCTGTTGTTGGCCCCAAGATAGGCTTAGCTTCTGGGTGATTTCATAGACTGTATCTGACCCCCAACACTTTCACTTGGACTTATTTTCACACATTTTGAAGTAGTTTTGTTGGCATTCCTTTTTTGTGAATATTGTTTTAAATAATGATTTGTAAATGCATTACATCAGTCATGTTTGTCATGGTGTTTGCACCCTTTGTTGTTCATAAAGGCAACTTAATCATTAAAAACACCGCATCACATCCAAGCTTTCTACTGAGATACTTGGCAGTCTTTGGAGGCTTGGCAATGTGACATTACAGGCACTTAAACATCAACTGCAGCTCTTTCACAGGCTGATTGAAAAAGGAAGGGGGGACAGAAAAGGCATTTTTAATGTATGTCTCAGTGTAGGAATAGGAGGATCCATTAAGAAGTGACAGAGAGTAATGTGCTGCAGAGATGCCCAGCACAGCCCACACACTCTCCTCATGCCTTGCAAGAAAAGGGTTGTACATTTCTCCTCAGTTGCTCTGGCTGGTCAGCCTTGGAGGCTCAAGCAATACCTTAAGATGGTGCAGCCCAGGCAATCTAATCCTTGGCAGAGTTGCTGTGACAGCTTCCCAGGTTTCCATTTTATGCCAGAAACTTTATGCTGCTACGGTCATTTGGCCAGGAGTGAAATTGATGTGCCACTTCCCCTCAGGAAGGAGCTCAGGCTGTTGTGGACAATAAGTTCATCTTGTGCCCACTTTGCATTTCATTCATGAACAGTCAGACGCAGCCGTGGCCCCAGGACTCTCCAGCAGGACAATGCTGGATGCTGTGGTTTGCCCATCTTATATCACCCAAATACAACCGTAATTATGAAGGTAGCAAACTGAATATCCCCAAGCCTAACTGTTATAATCACCAAGTGCTCACTTCCGATGCTTCCTCATCTTTCCAGTTCCCTGCTGTCTTCACCTCTCTGCTATCTCATTTTTTCTGAGAACAGCATTAGTTGATTCTGCCACTCTGTGAGCCTGCTTGATGGTGCTGTTCCCTGGGGTAAAACGTGGTTATCTTGGTGAATCTGATTTAGGCTCCCATTTCATAATTTTGTTCTCTCCAGCTACAAGAAAAGTCATAATTGGTGACTGGAGATTTTCCTTAGAGCAAAGCATCATTTAGGAGAAAAGCATTTTAAAAGAAAACATACCTCACTGTCAATAAAACAGCCTGCACTCCTACCTGCTCACAAGGTGATTAGTGGTTTTCCATGTGGGGGCCCTGTAAGGACTCACTGTGCATTCGATCTTCTCCCTTCTTGTCTCTACCAGAGCTCCCTGCCCTACCCTGCAGATGCAGGGGCTCTGTCCAGGCCCTTCCTACCCACTGGTAGGCTCACAGCAAGGCAAACTCCAGGTCCGGATAAGCAATATTAACACATCACCTAATGCAGAAGCTCTTCCAAGCTACCAGCTTGCTCTGTTGGGTTTCTGGTACACACACATTGCCACATCCCTCCTCTTTCTGCTGCCCTTGCCTCTTCCCAGCCACAGCATCATCTCAGTATAGCAAAACACTGAGAGAGCCATCTGAGGACTGCCAGCTTGGGACAGTTCCCCTCCCTCATGGCGATTCGGAAATGGATGCTGTCTGACTGGCTTTTCCTCATAGAATCAAGTAGGTTGGAAAAGACCTTTAAGATCATCAAGTCCAACCTCATGCTCCATTTGTGTTCCACATGGATCAATTTTATGTGTGACTGCTGTTCCATTATGATTAAAAAAATACCAATTTATTTAGATGTGTTGTTGTTTTACGCTTCACCACTTTACTCATTTCAGTTTCTGTTAAGATGGCAATATGAAATACTAGCACCCTAACTCATAAGATGTATTTAAATTACAGGCACAATGACTGGAGTTGTTGGTGTTTTTTTTTTTTTTATTTTGTTTTGTTTGTTTTTTTAAGATGTGAAGTTATTGAAGAACTATTTCAGGGCATTTTAATGAAGTTCAGAAATATAAATTTGAAATTTATGACTGGAAAGCAAAAAGAAGGCAATGTAGAAGAAGGACTAGAGACAAGGTCCAACTTTTAGTAGCATATCAAGTAAGGTGAATAGCAATCAGTTCATGTATTCCAGCTGTACACAAGCTGAAGTACGATTTAGAGTACACTACAGCTATTCAGGGTCTAGTATGTGATTACACAGACATAAGAAGGATTGAAATATTCTTACATTTTCTCTCTGATAAGCCATGTAGTATTGTATATACATTAATAAGCTGTTAAGCCATAGTTATCTTGGTACTCACTCAATGCTATCATTTACTGTTTGAAATATATAAAATAAAAAGTAATTGTGTAATAGTTAAACAAGAAAGGAAAGCATTGTCTCCTGGAAATTAATGACATTTATCCTTCGACTTTTTCTCTTATCTATGCAGTACAGAATATTTGGAATACTATCCTGCTGAAATTTAGTCAGGAAAATACACATACAATATGAGAGCTTCTGAGCTTAAACCTATTATTGCTGAGAGTAATTAACTCCTTGAGTCTCAAACTTTACCAGATGAAATAAAAATTTGATCTATAAAGCACCTTCAAAAAGCTTAAGCGCCCAGCAATACAAGAGGAAACTTCTAAATGTCTGGGATTTTTCCCTAGCCATTGAATCTGATTTTTGCCATGCAGTGGGAAAGTGGTGAGGGAGAAGACAAGAGATGAAAGAAATCAAAACAAGTTATAATGAACCTTCCCAGATCTGTACATGTTTCCCTACACAATCCTGTGATCCTGAAATCACCCTGAATTTTCTTGTCCCCTTCTCCCTCATTTTGGCTGCTGTTGAGTCTAATTCTTGTATCGTGTTGTATGTTAGGTATGTGCTCGTATATACTCCTGTGCATGCCTAAAGTGTATGTTCCTTCTGTTCAAGGCAGTGCATTTAGATTAAATTCATGGTCAATTTTGTCCGCTAGGTCCTTTAGAGAGCCAGATAATTTAGGAATAGCTTGACAAAGCAAGCTATTGCTTGCATAACACCCTTTGATCAAAGCATTTGCTGGGAAATGGGAGAGCAGCATTCAAGGCAGACCAAAACTAATACCATTGCTCACATTTTTTAGATGAGAGAGGTGGAAAGAGGATGAGGCGGAAGGCAGAAAACATAAGATTCACAGGGCATGAATGTGTGGGAGCATAGCTTTGTAATCAGGGATGTGGGTGTTCAATCAGGATGGAAAGGTCCTGTGTTCAGGTCTCTTCTTCATAGGCACTGCACAAGTCTATTAATGAAAAGGCTCAGGGTAAAATACAGAAGCAGAGGTGGGAGTGGGTACCACACCTAGACCATCTACCCCTTTGAAGGGCTCCTTCTCCTCACTGCTCCACAGACCTTTGCTGGCTTCTCTGGCTCCCTGCTCCTTGCTAAGTTGCGGGGGTCCCCAGCAGAGCCACACAGGTGCCTGTAGCCATCTGCTTGGAGCTGTGACATACCAACAGCCCACAACACCAAGGTGGACTGAAAAAGGTATCACCTTTGCTAAATAATTCAGGAAGTTAGTGTGGAAGAGTCTGCTTTGAGGAAAATAGATGTTTTAGGAATTAAAAAAGAGCAAGCTGTCAGGTTCCTTATGGAACTTGGCTAGATAAAAAACATCTGTGCAACACTTATGTTTATGCAAATATAAGCATGGGAAGTACATGCTTTAGGATATACAAAAGGGGGGGGATTATCAAGCCAGTTTATTGGAAAGGAGCTTATACTTTTAATGTTAGAAATAGCTTGCTGTTTAATGAAATTAAGGGAGGGAACAGAGGAAAGGATCTTTTCACAGTAGTTAGCAGGGCTCATTGAAAGAGCTTTAGACTAAATTTGAAGGTGGAAAGGGATAAAGCCAGGCTCACTAGAGATGAGCCTGGGGTCAGCATGCCAATGTTTGAGGGACGATGTGCTTGCAAGGTCCTTTGGTCTGCTGTTTCAGTAAGGGATGGAGATCCGTGAGGTGGCAAAGATGCAAAGATTACTGATGTGTTAGAAATCATGCAAGTGCTTGAGGATGGTCATGTAGGAATGAAGGCTTCTCCCCCAGAAAGGTGGCAGCCCAACTGAAGCACATCTACACCAGTGCATGCAGCATGGGCAACAAACCCACTGCTGGAAACCACTGCACAGGAAATCTATGGCAGTGTTTCCATCACAGGAATATGGTGGGATGATTAGCATACCTGGAGTGCTGAAATAGATGTCTATAAACTCTTTAGAAGGTATAGGCAAGGCCACCTTCATTTACTTTCTCTCCTCTCTCTCTTTGCCTTTCATATAGATTTTGGGGTATATTTTATTATTAGATTTTACATATAAGAAGGGAAAATAGCGGAAGGAGAAAATTTTTATCAGTAGAGATTGATATTGATAGAAACAAATTGTACATTGACAGCTTGTCAGTATAATCCCAATATTGTTGTTTCCCAGTTTTAGAAATTTAGTTTTAACAATTCAGAAATTTAGTCTTAACAATTTAATTTGAACAGTTTAATTTGAACAATTCCATGAAGAAATACAATTCTGAAGACTTTAAGTAAGGAGAATGAACTCTGAGTACTATAGATATAGAAATGCAGTTCTGTTACCCAGAAGGGGAATAATGACCTTATTTGTTGATTAGCAAGGGAAACAAAGAAATGTTGAGTTACTACGTTTGTGTTGTTTGCTGCAACTGTTTTTGATCAATTAGAGTATGAGGTTAAATTGTAATAATAATAGTATAAACTTTGGTAACGTGATAATAAGTATTGATGTAAACTTGATATAACAGAGAGATTTGTGTTGCCAATAATAATTATATGCTTTAATCAATGTTTTAATCAATATGATTAAGAAATGTTTGGGAACCAATACATAATACAGCTAAAATGATGCTTAAGAGGACGGCTTAAAAGGTTGTTCTTTGGTGCTGTCCCTGAGGTGATGTCTCTGGACACAGCAGTGTTATTCTGCTCTGCCAGATGGTGCTAAAGATAAACAAGGCAAGCTGAAGCATTGGTGGAAAAGAACACTGTTTCATTTCAGCAATAAAATGCTCAGATGAAACTGCTTTTCTAAGGCTTTAAGTTTTTATAAGGATGTCAGTGTGATTAGTCAGAGATGATCCTACCACAGGTCACAGGTACTACCCAGTCTGCCTATCCTCAGGGGGAGCAAGACTTGAGCCTAGGTCTTACCTTCCCCATCAGCAGCTTCTAAGACTTTCCAGGGCTGGATGCTAGATTTTTCCTTCTCTTCAAAAGCCAGCATAACCCTGATCCATCCACAGCTCATTACATTTCTCTTTCATCTGCTTATTTCTGCAGTAACAGAAATGCCAAAGTAGAAGAGATCTGGTCCCTTCTCCATGTTTCTGTATGTGAACAGCTGAAGAGAACAATACGCTGAACAAAACCAGATGGAGATAACAGAGCTTTACTCCTGCTATTCTATGATTTTATTCTATTCTATGATTCTATCTATCTTGGGCTTTACACACAGATCTCCTTAACAAAGCTCTCTTCAATGTGCTGTCAACTGAGAGAAATCTGGCAAGAGTTTTTGAAAATTTTTACTCCCAGGAATACTTCTAAAGCATGAGAAGCCCTGTGAATTTGGAGTTCAGATGATGAGGAGTGTCTTAGTTCATTTTAATCAGGAAAACTATCATGTTTACTATTTTACATCCCTTGGGTTGTCAAGCATTGGAGCGGACTACCCAGAGAAGTGCTTGAGTTGCCATCCCTGGAGATATTTAAAAGACATGTAGATGTGACATGTAGAGACATGGTTTAGTGGTGATTTGTCAGTGCTAGGTTAATGGTCAGAGTCAATGATCTTACAAGTCTTTTCCAACCTAAATGATTCCATGATTCTGCTTTTTCCTCTAGTTTGCATTTCTCATTTAGAGAGAGATAACTGAACACAATCACTCAAGTGCAATAGTTTTCTTACACCAGAGCAACATTTTTGTAACAAGTCGAAAGATGCTTGGCAGGGCTAGCAATGTCCAAGAGATTCTCTTTTGGATATAATCAGATGCAGATGAAATGCCACACAGAGTTAATTAAAAGAGCTGATTCCAAATTGGGTTATGGTTGCAGTTAATCACATAGATCCTTGCCAGAAGCATATAGATAGCGGAACTTCTTGGCCTCAGATAATAGAACAGATAATTGCTCAGCAACAGAGAGCATGTCTTTCACTGCACATGATTGTATTATATTGGACAAGGTTTCTTAGGAGAAGCTTTCTCTTTCCATGCTTCTGCCCTATATCTCTCTGTTTAAACCAGTCTTCTGCAAAAGGACCTGGCCATTCAGCCAGCTTCATTTGAAGACCACTTTTTCCAAGATAAAAATGGCCTTCAAGGTCCAAAAACCCATAGTTAGCATTAAAGAAAATGTTTTCTCTTACCTTTGTGCTTTCCCTTTAATTTGCTCTTTCAATCAATATTGCTCAATTTCCCACCCACACTAGATCTACAGAGGGCTTCTAACTCTCCTTTCCCTGTCTTCACTGGTTGGTTTTTGGTTTTTTTTTGCCTTTTCCTTTCTCTTTTCTGTGGTATTTCTTCCTTATATGCACAGATGATACCTGCATATTATGCATACCACTGAGCCCAGGTTTGCAGTGCCCAACAGCTAAATACTCAGATCCTGTAGTATCCTGCAAGTGACTTTAGATATCTAGGACTTTTCAGCAGTCCTTGGTGAGCATTGGGGTCCTGTAAGGATCTCACCTTTTTATCAAATACCTTGTGCCTCTTGGGGACAGGAGAAGAACAGAGTCTCAAGGCCATTGGAAATAGGGAAGAAGGAGAATGAAGGTGACAGCTGAAATGGAGAGGGAAGTAGTGTCTGGATCAAGTGAAGAGTTTGTCTGAAATAAATTTGCTAACTTTGGCTTGTAATTGCAATTTATGACTGTTGTTTTTCTGATTTGTGGGTTTTTTTGGTTGGGTGGTTTTGTTTTGGTGGGTTTTTCTTTTCTGGTTTGTTTTTTTTTTCCTTTTTTTGGTTGCTGTTCTTGGTTTTGTTTGTTTGCTTGTTTTCTCCTATTGACTACCAATTGTAATAAAAATCCTAAGCAAATCAGCTTGTCAATTGAGACCCATGCATTTCATTTCAAGGAAAATGTTACATATATACACAATAATGTGAACAATCCTGGGCATTGGATCAGAGAACAGGAAATTTTATAACCACTGCCTTGGTCTCCCTTTGGCTTGCTGAATCTTGCACCTCTGCTTGTGCTCTAGTTTCATGAGAGTCTTCCCATCCAACTATGTTGCTGTGAAAAGTGGGACCTTCATTCAAACACATGTTTGAAAGAAGGCCACCATGGCAGCCATGGTTTCTTCTATTCGTGCCTATCAAGCATTTTACTGTACAAGGCTCTCCCAGGACTGAAGTGGAGTTCAGTGACTGTCAATTCTTTTCCAAATCACATGAGACCTTCAGCATATAGCACTAGACTGGGGTGTTCCTGTGTGTTCCCAAGCACCCCAAGGGCTTTGCTATTGAAAACACAAATATCTCTAAGTGATTGCTGGACAAGCATATTTTTGCAGTGTGTTCTTAGGCTTGAGCATCTGAATTCCTCAAGTCCCATTCTTAGAAGATGTAGTAGTGTATTTCACCCTCTTTTATGAGCTGCTTCCTCAAGCAGGGTAGTCATGGCCATGGCTGCATGTGCATTGATTTGCTCATGCAAATATGAATCACGTAGTCAGATTGGGACAAACCACTCCGTGCCATCAGTGTTTCTCAGCTGCGGCTGCAGGGATTGTTGCATGGTTCCCAGAGTGGGAATGCTTTCTGCAGAAACATCCTTTCCACTCTGTTCTTAGCCTTACAGCTGCTTCACTGATTTTTTTTTTGTAGTGCTTTTCGTTTTCCCTATGAATTTCATTACTTTTGGATGTGGTTTTAACTATACCTTAGAGTCTTTTACACCTAGAGCTGTTCAGTACATTAGCCTTTTAAGACCTGCTGTTGAATGAATAATGCACTGCATTTATAGACTATAGTTAGGCTAAATTCAACCATTTTCTCCTATTCCCAGGAATGCAGTGGACATTTTTGTTGCAAAGGCTGGAGGTAACACTAGAATTCTTCCCCAAGAAACCAGCAGGTTCTCCAGCCTGTGTGAGTGAAAATAAGGACTTTCCTGCATTGCCTCTCTCAGAACTGGTAGGAACTCATAGCTTTCTATATAATTCCTGGCCCTCCACATCCACCCAATCATCAAAACCGCCTCATTTCCTAACTCTGATTTAGCCAATGTGGGCTGAGATGCATGAATCTCACTTGAATTGCTATTGTTTGTTTGGTGACAGAAATGAATCAAAGCTTTCCTAGCTTGCAGGTGCGGTAGTATTAAAAACCAAAGTGAAAGAGAAACTGTGGTCTGTTTCTGGTGGGACTGAACCACCAAGGCCTGGAGAACTCTTATGTGCTCATAAAACTCTTTCCAAGCACTGCCTGAAAAAAAACCTTCCTCCCATCCAAGAGGCTTCTCCAACTCTCAGAGAGAAGATGCGGCCCACACTAAAGCAGGTGATCTAGTATATACTCAAACAGTTTTATTCCTAGGTACTTGAAATCTTATGAAGGCTGGAGAAAGTAAAGTAGGTGAAGTTACCAAAAAGTAACATAGCTTCCTAATAAAGGGCTTGGTGATTAAAATGCTCAGAGGATTGTTATACTGCGATAAGAAAAATTCCTTGCGTAGGTATTTCAGGTATTTCTTCAAGTGAGGGAAAGCTTATGATGAAAATAAGGTCATTGGGTATTTTCTGCTAATGACAAATCCAGACTCTCTGCAGAATTTAGGTAGTTACTGCACCTTGCCAAGTGACAGGTCCAGTGATATAGGGTATGAAAAAAGAATTCATTTTCTGCTGCAAATAAAGTCATCATTCAGCTGTTCACCCCAGAAAGTTTCAGCCAAGAAGCTAACAGACCTGCTTGTTACAGAATATATTTACATTTTAACCACAGTAATAAAATTCTGGTAGCATGACTTCAGTGGAAGCACAGCTCTGCTTCAGATCCTATACAATATCAGAGTCTGTGGGATTTGAGGCACTGTGCACATAGCATTGTTCACGTTGCCAGTGAACACAAATTGATATACAGAAACAAATCTACATGGTCTGCACTCTACTGCTATTCTCTGCTTTGGAGACAAAGTGCTTAATGAAAAATAAATTGCTTTTATGATAAAACATATTTTAAAATATAAAAAGCAATTTATATTCTATTTTTTTTTCTTGCCTGCCACTACTTTATCTACTGTGTATTTGCATTCTACCTCCTACTAAAACCAGATTTAATTGTGCTGCTGTTACTGACTATGATGCTAAACTCCAACTCTCATCATGGTCTATGGCTTATCATCTGAGGGAGGAAAGAAATGACTCACCTTTTTCCACTGGGATGAATAAACTCATCTCTAGAAGATAAAAGTTGCCCAGACTATTTCAAATCCCTTGAACCAAATGTAATGCATTTTCAAGTAGAGAAAATTTGCTAAAAATTGAGCAAAATCTGAAACTTTTTCTCCCTGCATAAATTGCTTGATTTCAGCAGGACCAAGTCAGCCTGAGTCAGGGAGCTGTGACTCTATAGCGAACCGTATTTTAGCTAAGAAAAAGGGTACAGAGACAATTTTAGTTCTGCATGTTGGATGATTGTATTGAGCAGGCACAAAAAACATGCATATGCCAGAGTACCAGCTCTCTGCATATAGATCTTGTGATTCGTCTTTCCCCTAAATTCCTCACAGACTGCATTTGTATCACAAATGTATCTTTTGCCTTGTTCTACCTTGCCTTTGCATGTCCTCATCAAAATTCAATTTTATGGTTAATGTAAAATTGTTGTGCAAAATGTGTTAATTTAACAGAGATTATTTGGTAAAAATAATGCCCACAGGTTCTGTTTGCTCTGTCAAAGAGCTCCTCTAAGGAATTAACATAACTTGCAAGCAGAACTCCTGTGCTTTTCTGGCAGTCAGCCCTCTAAGTACTTTTCTTATTTCCAAAAAATGTTGATGCTTTTTCCCTGGTTTGTCCATTTTCATTAGTGTTTAATGAAGTCTCTGCAGACTGCATTCAGCTGCTGTTTGCGTCATGCAGTTCTGGTACCTTAAGTTATTTTGCATCTACCTAAATCAATCCAGAAATGGAAAATGATGGAGGCTTTATGTGTGGTGCTGACTCTGGAAATTAATTAATGTTCCTTCCTATACATTTTCTTCCAGAGCTGTATGAATTGTATGAATTTTACGTGTCTGATATAAACAAATATAATCA